GTGCATACTAAAGCACCAGGTACAAACGTGCGAAGGCCAGGAATAATTTATCAGGGTAATCGACAAACCGGCTGGAATGGAAAAAAATTGGCAGGCTGCTGCTACAGCCTCCCAGCTTATCCATCTGAATAAAAATGTCAGCCTGTTTCCTGCAGTGTAGCTTCGGGATCTCGTTTCCTGCTTCAGACAGATAAACCTGGGTGATTCCCAAACCATATTCCCCCATCTAGAACAGTGAGAAGTCCAGAGTAGCTCTGACATCTCTTTCCTTCCTTCCGCCCTAGTTGGCAAGACATCGTGAACAAAGTGAATGCCCAGATGGATGAGGAACAAGCCCCCCTGCAAAGCCTTCACCTGCCCGCCAGAGCCGAGCAAACGTTCTCGAACCGCAATCGAATGCTAAGCAATCAGCAGCAAGGGGCTGAACAGCGACAACCGCGAGCTGGCTGGGAAGCAGGGAAAGGAGGCGCAGATGAGGAGGAACTTCAAATGGGTACCGCTTCTGGGATTTGGGGTGGCCTTACGAAGGCACTGATATGGGCAGACGTAGTGGACTTGAAAGCCAAGGAGGCTTCTGGGATATTTCCACTGAGAATGCATGTTTTGGGGTAGCAGGAGGAAGCAGGGAATCAGGCCCGTAGCTTCGGTGGGGCTTTTGGGGGCTCCGCCCCCTTTCTTAAAGGCACAGCCCCACAAGAATTTCTGTAAATGCTTTTTTCCAGCCGTTTTAAAACATTTTTTTAAAAGGCGTGCGCTCCTTTAAGCAGAGTGAGGTGCTGTAGTTGACTAATTCCCGAACTGAGCAAGGGGGTTGGAGTAGGTGACCTCTAGGATCCCTTCTAACTGTGTCAAGAAACTGGTCTCCTTTAAGAGAGTTGTCCTGCCTAAGTGCTAGCTTTCTTGACTGTAGAAGTCATCACCCCCACCTGCCGGCTTGTTATCAGAATTGCTGCTTAGGCTGGCAGATGTGATTAACTTGCAGCAGCTGAGAACTGTCACCTGAAGTGGCTCACAGCTTCCAATTTAGAGATCTATCCTGGTAACAGCTTTCCATTGGCTAAATGGCTTTTCTTTCTGCACTGAGGACTTCAGCCCCACCAGAAAAACATTTGCCCCACAAGCCACAACATCCTGGCTACGGGCCTGCCGGGAATGGACTGCGTATTCTGAAGAGCCGGAATCTTGGCTTCACCCGCTAGTTCAGCCCCGCATGAGCCTAGACTTAGCCCTAAGGGTTCTTTAACACCTTCTTCCCCAACACAGACGACACCCCGAGGCTTTGGCAGAATTCTCCACCTCAGCTGCTCATGCCTGTTTGCTTGTGTGTTGCTTTGCACACGGGAGTGAGAAGTGAAGATGCATAGTAATGTTCCAGAGCCACCTTTGTTCACACAGCAGAGACCGCTGGGGTTCCGGGATCTTTGGCGATGTCCCGGCTGGGGGGAAAGCAGGGCTATTTTGGGGCAGGAACGCACAGGAACGGAGTTCCGGCTGGCTCCCAAGTTGGCCACACCCGGCAGGAACTCATTAGCATAACAGGCCACACCCAACAGCAGAAACTCATTAGGATTGGCTACATTAGGGGGTGTGTGGCCTAACATGCAAAGGAGTTCCTGCTTCAAAAAAGGCCCTGGGTTTTGACAACAAACAAGGTCAACAGAATAAGAAGCAAAAGGTGGGTGTGGCTGGATGACCACACTTCTGGTAACATGGGGTGTGGCCTAATATGCCATATCCTTTCCCCTTCCCCTGCCTCATTCTCTCATTCTTAGCCATTCATCAACCTACCTTCTATCTACCTCCCATCTTCAGCTACATTTATTTACTTTATTTATACTCCATGTTATTTATTTATTTATTTAAATTTATAACCCGCCCTCCCCGCAAACGGGCTCAGGGCGGCGTACAGATGGGGCCAATGCCCAATACATAAAACATTAAAACTGCATTTTAAAAACATTCAGTGCAACATAAGTGCTCTCCACAACAACTAACAAGGGAACCGATGACGTCACCAGGATGGTATCCTTAGTGGCCACAGCTCCACGCAGTACCACCATTTTTGCACTCACGACGAGTTAGTAATAAGGGCTAGGACAGATAGTAGTAATCGTAGACAGATGGTAACAGTCGTGGTAACAGTCGTGGCGGCTCCTACTCAAACGCCTGGCGGAAGAGCTCCGTCTTGCAGGCCCTGCGGAACTGTGCATCCTGAAAGGAGAGGAGATCCTTGGGATCACGGCGATATATGGGGCCAAATGAGAAGCCGGTTGGGGTTGGGTTAGCTTCCTGAGCAGCTGGTTGTCGGTCGTGAGCATGCAGCTTTGGAACAGCTTTTCATCATTGCGCTGAATCAGAGGAAAGCGACGAATGAATCATTCGCGCATCTGCTTGTAGTATCGTCTTAAGTCATACCGAGATGAAGCAATTGCATATCTCTCTTGTAATGAGAGACATGCACATGAGATGTGGCGGCAGCTTGCACCTCCATCGTGATTAGAATACCGGGCAGGCGCTGGGTCCCAGCCCCATAGCTACAGTGGGGCTATTTGTGGCCCCGCTCCCTTACTTAAAGACATCGCCCCACAGGCATTTGTCCTCACAATGCTTTTAAAATCTTTCTTTTTACAATTTTTAAAGGGCCACACTCCCTTAAGCCCCCTTAAACATTTAAATGCCCACCGGGGGGGGGGATCCTAGTTACGGGCCGGCTGGGTTCAAGTTAAGAACAGCAGCAAGGTGACCTGGACGGAGCTTTGGCAAGCTAGGCTCTTGTGGCCATTCTGCCTGTTAATGGTTCTATCCCAACGGTCCTCCGAGGAACTCTGGGTGGTGCTCCCCTGCCCCCGCCCTTCAGCCTCATAACAACCCTGAAAAGTAGGTTAGGCTGAGAAATCCAAACTGGCCCAAAGTTATTCAGCAGGCTTCAGGGCTGAGTGGAAATGGGAACCCAGGTCTCAGCAGTCTTAGTTCAAAATACTAGACAGTGCATGGAACTGGCTGTTGAAGCAGAGCTGACCTCTGTGGCCAGTGCCATGTTATATACTGTAGATTGCCTCTAGCAAGCCATCAAGGGCCTCATCCAGACGGCCAGGGGTCATTTAGTAGAAAAAGAGGTGCAGGTGCTCGTTAGCATAACTTATTAGCACAACCTATTTGCATATGCCACACACTCTGATGTCACCGGAAGTGTGTCAGAAGGCAACACCCACTGCTCAGGCTCCACTGGACTTTTTTGGATTGCTAGCTATTGGGGGGGAACGACGTGCAGATCTGTCCTCGCAGAGGAGGGAGAGCTAGTACCTGAATAAAACTTGGTCTTAAAGGTGCCACTGGACTGTTTTGGGGTGGGGGGCCGGGGGGGCACTCTGCAACTTACCTGGCTGCTTCTTGCTCTGACTGAGGGCTGGTGGAAGCAGGGGGTGGGGCTTGTTGCATGTGCCCGCCCCCTGGGCTCTTTACTGCCGGAGCTCCGCTCCTGTGCGCTCCTGCAGGAAATGACCCCTGCAGACGGCATCTCTTTAGCGTAGGTCATCCCCAAAATGGTGCCCATACATGCTATGGTTCCCGCCAACATTTTCCTTATTGCCCGCCAAGTGGGCGGGCCAAGTGGAGCTTTTACCCAACAGAATTTATGATTGGCTGGGCAGATTAAAAACAATTGCTTCATCTGCATCTGTCTTTTTTTTCCTCACTGTACGACTGAAGGTAGGCTGTGTGTAAGCAAGAAAATAATTTTCAATGTATTAATTTTTTTAAACACCCTGTTAAACAGAGCGTCTGCCATTTGAGTTATGCATGATTTCACTGCCTCACATTTTCCGGCTGGCTCAGCTTCTTGCGGCAGCCATTTTGTCATTGGCTCCACCCCCTGCAGCAGCCATTTTGTAATTTCTGCCCACCACTTTGTGTCACAATTCCAAAGGTGCTTGCAGGTTCCAAAAGGTTGGGAACCGCCGGTGCAGAAGGTATATAACTCTCCCGCTTTGGCGCTTCCCTACAGATCCCAAAACCTAAAGCGACTTGCGTGTTTGCTACTTCAGGGGTAAAGCCCACAACCGTTTTCAGAAGAAAGTTCCTGCCAACAAAGTGTGGTAACTAAATCTGGCCAGTGTTCCCTCTAAGCTGAGTGAGTGTGAGCTAGCTCACAGTTTTTTAGCCTCTGGCTCACACATTTTTGTCTTCGCTCAGGAAGGATGGCTTCAAAGCAAACTGATTTATGCAGTCGCCAAATTGCTCGCTTGCAACTTTGATACCAGTATCTCACAAAGCAGAATTTTTGCTCACAAGACTCCACAGCTTAGAGAGAGCATTCGATCTGGCCACCTTTTTGAGAGGGAATAGAAATAGTAAGCGGTTGGTTGTTTTGAATTGGGGGAAGCCTTGGCAGCCCACCAAAGAGTTAGGTGGAAGTGTGGAGACATGGGAAAGAAAACAAGGGTCTCTTTTGGCTGGCGGCCCACTCTGCCCTTTTCCACAGAGTGCACACAGCTGGTCCCTTCTGCTTTGATTTGACCCACTTTCAACAAGTCCCCTTGAAAGGATTTGCACTAATTGCTTCACATCAAAGCCAAAATCCTCGCAGAAGGCTCACAGTGTGGGGCAGAGGGGAACATTCGGGAGTCTGACCTCTGTGTCTTTAATTTGGATTAATACCTGAGTGATAGGCTTTCCTGCCCCTGCTATGAAGCCGTCTAATTGGATCCTTTCGGTTGCTTCATCTGTATTTCAAGGGGGAAGGGGAAAATCGCTAAAAACCCAGCAGAGCTGGAAGAATGTCTTAACAATTCGTCTAGCCAGCTGGTCCCATAAGAGCCCTGGCTGTGTTGATGCCGGCTCCTACTTTGGTTTATGGCATTCTTTGTCCCGGTTCCTCCTTTAATGTCCCATGTTGTGTGCATTAAAGTAGTACATCTCTGAACAGGGGCAAAAATGAGCTTGGCTTTGCTGGATCAAACCATCTGTTCAACCATCTGATTCCCCTCCCCATGGCCAACCAGATGCTCCAGAAGACCTACAAGTAGAGGCCCAGAGGGCAAAGTCTCCCGCAATACTGCTTCCCTGGGAACTGATATTTTTTTTTTGGTAAACAAATTTTTTATTTTCTCAGGAATACAACATATAAAACTTTTCATTCTATCAATTGTCTACCCCATTCCCAGTTCCTCCCCTCCCTCCAATGGCTTCCCACAATGCTTCCACCCCTGCTCCAAATTACTTCATATCATCAACAATATCAGTTTCTCATCATTACAATCTAAAGATAACATCGTTTGACTTAATATTGATCTAAACATATTAAGTTTTGTTTCACATCCCAGTTCTTTTCCAGATAAATTTTAAAATCATTCCATTCGATATTCAGAGGTATACTGCCTCTGAACACAGAGGTTCTATTTAGCCATCACAACTAATAGCTGTTGATTGTTTTAGAGGGTAGCCGTGCAGGTCTGCAGTAGTATTCAAGTACAGTAGCACCTTAGAGACCGTCAACATTTTCAGGGTATAAGCTTCCGAAAGCCAATACTCTGACGAAGGGAGCTTTGACTCTGGAAGGCTCATACTCTGAAAATCTTGTTGGTCTCTAAGGCGCTACTGGACTCGAATCCAGCTGTAATAGCTGTTGGCGGACCTATTGTGCTGGCTCTGGCCAGTTGCCACGAATACGATATCCTAAGCTAAGTGCAAAGTCCAAACCAAGCCGAGGAACAGTGCCAGGGGTTGGAATGCCGGGAGATCAATCAGAGTTCTCGGGAGCGAGGAGCGGAGGCCGGCAGCCGGGACAAGGTCCAAGATTGCACGGTTGCATCCGCACCGAGGCAGGTGAGCGTGGCTGCTTATAACTAGACCCTCCCTTCCCTGGGAGGCGACCTGCAAAGACTCACGGCCCCTCACGTTGCCTTTGCAACAGCCAAAGTCTGGCACTCCTCCTTCTCTCCTACCAGCGTCTGGGACATTCAGGTGAGCTAGGTGGGGACTCTGGTCTTGAGGTGTTTCCGACTGGGGGTGCTGGGCCAGGCTCTGGCCCAGGTTCTCCCTCTGACTGCATCTCAGGCTCTTCACCTTGCTGCCCCTCCTGTGCAGATGCTGGGGCCTCTTCTCCCTCAAGTGCTGGCAAAGGTTCCTCTTCTGGGCTGACTCCGGAGGAGGCTGGGTTGCTCCGTGCCTCTTCCTCGTCTGAGGAACAGTCAGCTTCGGCTGAGCCAGGACCCATGCCATGACACCTATCGTCCATGAATTTGTTCCCTTTTAAAGCCACCATCGCTACATCCTGTGGCAGTGAGTTCCACAAGTCAGGGCTGAGAGGTGATGGAAGGTTCCGAACCCAGTCTCTCCCCCGCCCTTGAGTGGGGTTAACATTTTACCCCAAATCTCTTTTGCTGTCCCCTTGAGGAAGGGACAGTGGGTTTGGCTCTCATGGGAGATGATGGGGTGGGACCAGGAGACCCACAAGGGAGGTTATGGGAGCTAGGCAGAGCCCAGGGCTGCCAGGTTTGTTCCTAGTCTGTGGGTTGTTTGTAAACCACACCTGTGTACCTGTGCACCTGTACAGACATTCAGGCAGGGTTGAAGTCGGTTCCTTATTCCCATTTCCTTATCCATCCCTTATTCGTGACTTATGCATGAATTCAACCGAAAACACTGAAGAGAGTTTGAAAGCTCTGAACCCCAAAATAAGGTATGGACCGCCATATATCATACACCCCCACATTCATGGGACCCTCCCCTTCAAGGGGACATATGGTACTTCCTGGTCCAAAGCCTGGTTATTGTGTCAGCTGCTCCAAATTGAGGTGCCCCTAGGACAATCACACAGGCAGACGCTGGGGCCAGGCTGCACCCCCCCAAAAAAATCTTTGGACCACCCCAAATGACACATCCCCATGCTCTGGGGACCGTCCCCTACAAGGAGAAATACAGCAGTGCCCGGTCCAAACACTGGTTCTGGCACCACAAGCTTCTATTTGGAGGGCCTGCAAGATTTTATTTTGGGGCTCAGAGCTTTCAAACGCTCCTCAGTGTTTTAGGCTGAATTCATGAATAAGTCACAAATAAGGAACTGGGACTAAGGAACCGACTTCATCTTCCTTGCAAGCTCTGGGTTTGGAAATTCCTGGAGATTTGGGGTTGATCTCTGGGAAAGGCAGAGTTTGGGAGAGGGAAGGACGTCAGTGTGGCATAACAGAGTCCACCTTCCAGAGCTCCCGTTTTCTCCAGGGGGAAACTGATCTCTGTTGGAGATCAGTTGTTAATTCCAGGAGATCTCCAGGTCCCCCCTTGAGACTGGAAGCTATTCCAGTAGGGATGCCAGCTTCCGGGGGGAGCTGGAGATCCCCTGGAATTACAGATCATCTCCAGATGACAGACATCACTTATCCTGGATAAAATGGATGCTTTAGAGGGTGGACTCCATGGCATTATACCCCACTGAGGTCCCTGTCCTGCCCAGGTTCCACTCCCAAATCTCCAGGAATTTTCTAATCTGGAGCTGGCAACCCTACCACCCACCCCCTGCCAGTAGCCAAGAGGGACCCGGCAACCCTACTTGGGGGCCCAGGAACTCAGTCCAGCCCCATAGAGTTGCTTCCCATCTGGACACACACACCCCCAGCATATCCCTCAGGCCTGCCTCCGTGGAGAAAGTAGGCCTGCTTGTTGCCATGGCAATGGAAGATGCGGCCGTGCAGGTCCCGAAACTGCCGCAGCACAGCTAGGCCCTGAGCGGCAGTCTTGACTGGTTGAGCAGCTGTGTGGTTTCCATGGATACCGGCCAGACTCCGCTGCTGCCCAAGGGGAAGGAAGGCATCCCGAACATACCGATTAGGAAGGGGCGGCTGACTGACTCAGCCCTCTGCCTGTAAAGGAATGGGGCCGCTATGCATGGTTTTCGTGTCCACCTGCGTCACTTGTCAGAATCCATAATCTGTGGCGTTTAAAAACACATCTGCAGACCTCTGCTCCTGTTTCTAGGGACTTTGTGGGAGTCCTCAGGGGTTGAAGGGAACCCAAGCAAAATCTCAACAAGCAAAATCTCAACAAAATCTCTTTTTCCCAATAGGTGTTTCCTACTAGTAATGCTCAGCATTTGCATAGAACCCAAAGGACTTCCAAAACATTACCCATTGTAACTCTTACAAAAACCCTGTTACATTGGTCACAGTAGGCTAGGATTCCATCTGTCACTGTTATGTATGGCGTCCCTGTTTCCCGATGTTAGGACCTGTTTTCTTCCTGTGGCAAATCATTCTCCTTATCTGAACCTTTTTTTGGAGGTGCATTATTAAAATTGCGTTATTAAAATTGCATCAGTCTCCGAGCTGGCATTGTCATTCTCCAAGGTCTCTAGAGAAGTTCAGCTTCTGAGTAAGGAAAGGGGTATCTTGTCTGTTGCGTGAGAGAGCATGAAGTTGAACACTAAGTAGGGCATAGTCTTTCCATTCTATATACTGCAGCCACTGAGGTGTATTTTGGGTGTATTTATACCGGGGTAACTATGTATAGTTATACCTGTTACCAAAAGAACCAAAAAACCCTTTGCTGAGATTGGTGTAGGCCCATCCTTTTCGGAATCAATTAATATGGAAATCCAGAAACCAAGAGCCACGCCATACCTTTTATTAAGACCATCCCAAATAACACAAAACTGTGTGCAAGCTTTCACAATTGTCCAGATTTTTTTTTGTATTTTAAAAAAATATGTGCATGTGTGTGCACGTGAATGTGTGTGCACCTGGAAGTCATGGTGACCTCTGGTTACTGTGTGTACACCCAGAATCAGAGGTCATTTCCTGCAGGAGCGCACAGGAGCGGAGCTCCGGCAGTAAAGAGCCCAGGGGGCGGGCACATGCAACAAGCCCCACCCCCTGCTCCCAGCAGCCCTCAGTCAGAGCAAGAAGCAGCCAGGTAAGTTGCAGAGCCCCCCCCCCGCCCCCTGGTCCAAAACAGTCCAGTGGCACCTTTAAGACCAAGTTTTATTCAGGCACAAGCTCACCCTCCTCTGTGAGGACAGATCTGCACATTCCCCCCCCCAATAGCTAGCAGTCCAAAACAGTCCAATGGAGCCTGAGCGGTGGGTGTTGCCTTCTGACACACTTCCAGTGATGTCAGGGGGTGTGGCATATGCAAATAAGTCATGCTAATGAGTTATGCTAATGCGCTCCTGCACATCTTTTTCTACGAAATGACCCCTGCCCAGAAGTCATGGCAACCTCTGGTGAGTGCCCCCTACTAGGAGCCTGGAGGATATTCAGAGAGGTGGCTGAATAAAGCCTGCCCCCGCCTCCCGCCTCTGGTATTCCAAGGAGGTCTCCCGTCCAAGTCCTTGCCAGAGTCGACCCTGCTTAGCTTCTGAGATCTGACACGATCAGGCTTGCCTGGGCTATCCAGGTCAGGGCAATTTTCCAGAAGTTTTTATCAGGCTGGATGTTCACATACAAAAAATGTTTCAAGCCATGATCTTAAGGCTAGTTATTTGGATCTTAAGAACATAAGAGAAGCCAATGTTGGATCAGGCCAACACTCCGTCACACAGCGGCCAAAAATACCAGGGGCCATCAGGAGGTCCACCAGTGGGGCCAGGACACTAGGAGCCCTCCCACTGTTCCCCCCCCCCCAAGCACCAAGAATTCAGAGCATCACCTGCCCCAGACTGAGAGTTCCTATGTATACCTTGTGGCTAATGGCCACTGATGGACCTCTGCTCTGTATGCTTATTTAATTCCCTTTTGAAGCTGTCCATGCTTGTAGCCGCCGCCACCTCCTGTGGCAGTGAATTCCATGTGTTAATCACTCTTTGGGTGAAGAAGGACTTCCTTTCATCCATTCTAACCCAACTGCTCAGCAATTTCATGGAGTGCCCGCGGGTTCTTGTATTGTGAGAAAGGGAGAAAAGTCCTTCTTTCTCTACCTGCTCTATCCCACACATTTCTACACTGTAACTCAGCATATGTGTGTTTGTGTGTGCAGATGCTGGTATGATTGAAAGAGAAGAGAACTCGCTTCCTCGGAAGGAATCGGTGATCCAGGAACCAATGGTAAGAGGGGGGGAAACTGACTTCTGGGTTAGAATGGAAAAGCCACTTGGGACTTTAAAGCGTGGTCCAAAACGTTAAAACCCAGAAATGTCCAATTTGCTGAAACGGATACAAATCCAAAATTCTAAATGTTCGCAAACTCCAGCTGTGGATTGCTGTCCTGTTTTTAACCTGGATAGGCTAGGATTTAAGTGTGAATGCAACAACGGTCCTGTGTTAACGCGACCTACCATGAGGTTCATTTTGTACGTCACCCCATGGAGTTGATTGGCAAAAAGACAGACAAAAGGAAGCGCTTCTTCGTACTATGTTTAATTCATGTAGAGTAACAAGCATACTGCGATGCACAAGTTGAGTGATCAGCCAGCTGCAGTAGACCTGTCAGCCCGTATTAGGTACATATGCAACCTTCTAACCAAAACTGAACTCAGGGGAAACCACATCTCCACATCTTCTGGTTTGTAGCAGAAGCATGGTGTGCGCAGCCCTTCTTGGCTGGTGCTTGTGACAGTCACAAAGCCACCCCACCCTCAGCAGGGCTGTGCACAGCGCTGATTGGCTGACCCATGTGTTGGTCATGAAGCCACCTTCTAGGAGCAATTTTTAAAGTGTAAAATTGGGGTGGGGAAATACTGACAAAGTTATGAGCAGGCAGACATGCAAAGCACTTGAGAAAGAAAACAGAGCAGACAGCTTGTCTGAAGCTTGTGGGAAGATCAGCACTGGATCTGGAGGTAATAATAATAATAATAATCGTATTGCATTGTGTGTAGCATAGCCAGGAGATCCTAAGATTGTCTGGCAACCCTAAGTTCTAGCTCTTTAGTGTTATGCACCACTAGGTGGCGAACGACAGTAATTTTTTGGGCTGAGAAAGCTCTGAAAGAGTTGTGACTGACCCAGGGTCACCCAGCTGGCTTCATGTGGAGGACTGCAGAATCGAACCCGGTTCTCTGGATTAGAATCCATCGCTCTTAACCACCACACCACACTGACTCTCTGGCAGCTGGTATGTGTGTAGATGGGCAGGATATAAGCCCAGGTAACAGTCACGACTTTAGAAATAATGAACTCAAGTTAATAATCTATTGAACAGCCTCACTATCACTGATTTATGGAAGCCAGCCTTTAATGCTAGTAGGATGCTGCTTGGTGCTGGACCTCACGTAGGTATCACAAACTCCCAATCCTATTCAGGTACCAGAGGATGCTGCCGACCCCGCCCAGGACCCCAACAATCAAGGAGAAGACGAATTCGAAGAGGCAGAGCTGGAGCGGCCTGATGTTGAAGAGAAAGCAGGCCAAGCCAGCCAACTTGGCCATACGGACCAGCCAGCTAAAGACGCCACAAAAGAGAAGATCCCAAAGGTAACCAATCACTTTTGCACGTCGGGGCAAAGCAGTTCCATCTCTGAGCCTGTCAAGTCTTGGAGACCCTAGTAAAGAATTCCCCAACGTGGTGCCCGTGGGCACCTTCCCTAGCACCTACCAAACGTTTTTTAGGAACTGTGCAGAGCCAGGTGGGGCTTTATGCCCAGCAGGTCTTCTGATTGGCCACTGGGGATTTCATTGGCTGTGCAGATCTAAAACAAACTCTGCTATGGCAGCAGCTGCCACCACCATACAAGGATCTTCACTGTGTGACTGACGGCAAGTTGTGTGTACACAAGACAGTATTTTAAGAAGAAGAAGAAGAAGAGAAGAAGAGATTGGATTTATACCCTGCCCTTCACTACCCCAAAGGAGTCTCAGAACGGCTTTCAATCTCCTTTCCCTTCCCCTCCCCACAACAGACACCCTGTGAGATAGGTGGGGCTGAGAGAGCTCTGACAGAAACGGCTCTTTTCCAAGAACAGCTGTGCCAGAACTATGGCTAGCCCAAAGTCATCCAGCAGGTGTAAGTGGAGGAGTGGGGAACCATGCTCCCTCTAAGCTTTGGAGTCTTGTGAGCAAAAATTCAACTTTGTGAGCGACTGGCATTAAAGTCGTGAGCGAGCAATTTGGCTACTGCATAAATTAGTTTGCGCCGGAGCCATCCTTCCCGAGCGAAGGCAAAAATGTGTGAGCTGGAGGCTAAAAAACTGTGAGCTAGCTCACACTAACTCAGCTTAGAGGGAACACTGGTGGGGAATCAAACCCGGTTCTCCCAGATTAGAGTCCGCGCACTTAACCACTACACCAAACTGGCTTTAAAACGCCGTGTCCGCCTTAAAAGGTCAAGCAGAGCTTCGGCCTGAAATGCTGAAGAGTTACAATCAGGGCTCTTTTTGTAGAAAAAGCCCAGCAGGAACTCATTAGCATAATAGGCCACACCAACAGCAAAACGTATTAGCATATTAGGCCACACCCCCTTGTTACCAGAAGTGTGGTTATCCAGCCACACCCACCTTTCCCTTCTTATTCTGTTTACCTTGTTTGTTGTCAAAACCCAGGGCTTTTTTTGTAGCAGGAACTCCTTTGCATGTTAGGCCACACACCCCTAATGTAGCCAATCCTAATGAGTTTCTGCTATTAGGTGTGGCCTATTATGCTAATGAGTTCCTGCTGGGCGTGGCCAACTCAGGAGCCAGCCGGAACTCCGTTCCTGTGCGTTCCTGCCCCAAAATAGCCCTGGTTACTATTAAAGCTATACGTAACCTCCCTCCCTGACATGTCGTGGCTTTCTCCACCTCTTGTGGCATCCATTTTGTCGTTGCGTCCGTCACTCTGTGTCAGAATTACAAAGCTGCCCGCAGGCTCAAGAAGGTCGGGAACCCCCGCTACAGAGAATGAGTGTTTTAGTCTCTGCTATTGAGAATATGATTTGTTGCTCTATAGCACCACCACTGCATGTGGACAGATGGTGGTACAGCAGCCACTAGTTCAGCAAGGTCAAGCGAGAAAGGAGGAACCACTTTGGTCCCACCTGGTCCCTTCGGACTCCCGACTCAACCTCCTGTTCTCGAGCACAGATCGAACTGTTCTCAGACCGCCCGTCGCCACATACCTGCCCTCCCGCTTCCTGGCCGGCTTCCAGATTATTATCCCCGGGACAAGTGCAGAAACACGGGCTTGTTTTGACAGGCTGCCGTGCTTTCTCCGTGTCGCTTGTTCCTCAAGGCGGCATTTTACCTGTCAGAATCTAAAACGGAAAAGTGGTAGGTTGGCCGGGTGTTCTTTTAGAAATAAGGAATGCTCGCGAGCTGACGTTTGCCCATCAAACTTCGTAGCCCGTGGCTGCTTTTGGCTCTGAACTGGTGCTGACGGGGGCTGCGATGTTGTTGTTTTGCTAGCTTGACACCGCATCCTGTGTGGGGAGAGAGAGATTTTGACAGTGTGGGAGAATCAATTGCCTCTGTCCCAACATGAAAAGCTTCAATGTAAAACATTCTGCGCAGTCTCAATATAGTCGCAAACAATGCTCCCTCTAAACTGGGGACTCTTGCGAGCAGAAATTCTACTCTGTGAGCTACTGGCATTAAAGTTGTGAGCGAGCGATTTGGCTGCTGCATGAATTAGTTTGCTCTGGAGCCCTCCTTCCCAGGCGAAGACAAAAATGTGGGATCTGGAGGCTAAAAAACTGTGTGAGCTGGAGGCTAAAAAACTGCGAGCTAGCTCCCACTAACTTGGCTTAGAGGGAACACTGGTTTAAGTTCTGCTGGCTTGTTTAGTGGGGGATAAATTAGATTGTGGATGAATGGCCACAGAGGTTGCGGCAGTCGTATAACTGCTGGGATACCTGTTTGATAGGGTTGCCAAGTCAATTTTTCTTCCTGGCGGGGGAGTCTCGCCAGGCTCTGGGAGCCGTCCGTCGACATGTGTGCGCGCGCAGGCTGCCAGCACGTCACCAGAAGTGACGCGCGACGTCGATCACGTTGAGGGCGTGGCCCCGATCGTCAGAGGGAAAACCATAGAGTTTTCCCTCCGACGATCAGGGCCACGCCCCCAACGTGATCGACGTGGTTGCGTCACCTCTGGTGACGCAGCCACGCTGCGCTTCGGGGGGCAGAGTTCCCCCTGGGGCCCGATTCCGCAGGGGCGGGAATCGGGCCTCCAAAGCAGGGGTTTACCCGCCCCCCCGCCCCCACTTGGCAGCCCCACCGTTTGCACATTAGATGGCAGCCAAGTCAGGGTTTTAAGTTCTAAAGCGTGGAGAGAGAAGACGCCTGCCAAAGAACATAACTGCAACTTTGTGGTGTTAGTCCGGGGTCCCCAACCTTTTTGAGCCTGCAGGCAACTGTTGAATTCTGACATAATGTGGTGAGCACAGCCACAAAATGGCCGCCACAGCTTCACATCAGTCGTGCACACCTTGTGCTGTGGTGGCAGCTGCTGCCAAAAAAAAATCTGCATGGCCAATCTCCAATGGCCAATCAAAAGCTTTGCTAGGCAAAAGCCTCACTTTCTAAAAAACTCGGTGAGCACGACGGAGGAGGAGGAGGAGAAGAAGAGGAAGAAGAGTTGGATTTATACCCCGCCCTTCACTCGGAGTGAGGTAGGTGGGCCTGAGCAGGGGTCATTTCGTAGAAAAAGAGCTAGGGGAACTCATTAGCATAACTCATTAGCATATGCCCCTGACATCACCGGAAGTGTGTCATAAGGCCACACCCCTGACATCACCGGACGTGTGTCATAAGGCCACACACCCCGCCCCCAACGGTCCCGGCCACCGCCGCCGGCCTTGCAGCTCCACTGCTGAGAACCCCATGATTTCCCCCCTGAAATGACCTCTGGGCCTGAGAGAGCAAAACCCTCCATTTTCCGAGACCTGTTTGCTGTTTGTCGCAAGGTATAATCACGTATAATTGACTGAAGAGTGCCTCCTCGCCCTGTTTCTGTCTTTTCCCCAATCCCAGGATGCTGCCAGGCTGAGGAAGGCTGCGGACGATCCGATGGAAGATTATCAAGAAGATCAGGAACAGGATCTGGTATGAAAACCAGGTTCTTTTCTCACTTTTGCCCCTGTGGGGAGGGGGAGTGTTAGCAGAACACGTAAAGGTAAAAGGTAAAGGTTCCCTTGCTCGAAAGCCAGTCAAATCCAACTCCAGGGATGCGGTGCTCATCTCCGTTTCCAAGCCGAAGAGCCAGCGCTGTCTGAAGACGTTTCTGTGGTCATGTGGCCGGCATGACTAGACGCTGAGGCGCACAGGGCAAAACACACAGGCACCAAAATGCGTGTTGTAAAGGCTGTGGGTTTTTTGAAGCTCTCGAAAGATTATGAGGTCGCTCAGAAGATCGGTAATTTTGGCCACACCAATTTAGAGAGAAGAAGAGGAGATTGGATTTATACCCCACCCTTCACTTGGAGTCTCAGAGCGGCTTACAAACTCCTTTCCCTTCCCCTCCCCACAACAGACACCCTGTGAGGTAGGTGGGCCTGAGAGAGCTCTCCCGAGAACTGCCCTTGAGAGAACAGCTCTGAGTGAACTTATGACTGATCCATGGTCATCCAGCACCTGCATGTGGAAGCGTGGAGAATCAGACCTGATTCTCCAGATTGCAGTCTGCGCACTTAACCACTGCACCAAACTGACTCTCCCATGTCTCAGACAGTTAAAGGTCTTTTCCGAACAACCAGAGTCCTCAGGGACTGGACCAGGGGATTCCTGCACGTTCTCTGTCACCGCCCCGCCCAACTACGCAGCCATCTTGTCAATCCGTCTAGCTCAGTACTGCCTCCTCGAACCGGCTGTGGCTCTCCAGGGCCTCAGTCGGGGAAGGGCCATCTTCAAAACCTGTTCCCTGAAATCCTTTTAACTGGAACTGAGCCTCCATCCTCCTCCATGCTGTACCACAGAGCGATAACTAAGGTTGCCAGCTCCAGGTTGGAAACTTCTTGGCGATTCTGAGGTGAAGTTTGGGGAGGGTGGGAGGGAAGAGCCTCAGCCGAATATAACGCCATAGAGTCCACCCTCCAAAGCAGCCATTTTCTCCAGGGGAATTGATCTCTTGTTGTCCGGAGACAAGTTGTGGTTCTGGGAGATCTCCAGGGCCCACCTGGAGATTGGCAACCCCGGCGAGAGCCCTTTTCTGGGACGCCCACGTGCTCGGCCACATCTAGTGCCACTGTGAAGGCGTCATCCCGCTCTGGCTTCATTATGGAACATGACCTTTCCTGTCCCGTCCCCCTTTCTCGTTTTCCGACAGTTATCATGTTTAAGCCACTAGCATGGTGTCTAATAACTATTTAGGCCTCTCTCTCTTTCTGTTACATTTTGGCATTCGGTTAAGAGGTGGGAGGGGACGAGAAGGGAAGCACATTCTGTTCTTTCAGGCCACCCTTCTGTCCTTGGTTGAACCCTTTCGGTATCTTCGCGTCTCCTGAGATGTGCGGATGCAAATTGTATCAGTCTTGGAGCGCCCAAGGAGGCTTTGGTTGTCAGGAGGGCAAGGAGCTGCCCGTTCGTACAGCCTGCGGGGCCCTGTTGAGTGCAGACAGCCGCCTGCTTGTGCCGTTTAAAAAAATAATTTACGCTTCCCCAGCGCACTGGGAAGCAGCTCATATGATGGTGCGGGGAGTAAAGGAGTTTTTATTCCCTTCCCCACTCTGCCCTTGCAGTAGTAGAAGAAGAAGAGATTGAATTTATACCCCACCCTTCACTTGGAGTCTCAGAGTGGCTTACAAACTCCTTTCCCTTCCCCTCCCCACAACAGACACCCTGTGAGGTAGGGGAGGCTGAGAGAGCTCTCTCGAGGACTGCTCGTGAGAGAACAGCTCCGAGAGAACTTGTGACTGACCCAAGGTCATACCAGCAGCTGCATGTGGAGGAGTGGGGAATCAAACCCGGCTCTCCCAGGTTAGAGTCTGTACTCCTAACTATTACACCGAACTAGAACTCAGGGCTCAAACAGTAGGTGGGGGGAAGGGTACCCCCAAGTCTGGAATAAACTGCAAGTCTGTTACGGGACTACATCTGATTTAGAGCATTTCAGAAATGGAATGGAACTTTTGTCCTTTGTGACTCATGAGGTTGTAGGCATGGGATGACGTAGGGAAAAAAAAAAAAGGGTGCTCAGGTCCTGCTGGGGATTACAGGATTTAAGCGATGGGCCAGTAGAGTCTGGAGAGACCACAAAAAAGTATCCCCCCCCCGATAATTAGTTCAGTCTAATCACAATAGCGTCTTTAAATAGACAGAAACGTTAATGGACGTATGACTGACATATAAATATTGCCCAAATCAAATGGATGCTCTACCCTGAAGTATTAACAATTAAAACCCATTTCAACCTGGTCAGTTCTCTGGGTGTGTTGGGAACACCTAGGTCATCTTTGGCAGCTACGGTTGCCAACCACCAGGTGGTGGCTGGAGATCTCCTGGGATCACAACCGACCTCCTGGCGACAGCGATCAGTTCACCTGGAAAAAACGGCCGCTTTGGAAGGTGGGGCCCAGTGTTCCCTCTTAGTGTGAGCTAGCTCTCAGTTTTTCAGCCTCCAGCTCTCACATTTTTGTCTTAGCTCATGAAGGAGGGCTCCAGAGCAAACTAATTGATGCAGTAGCCAAATCGCTCGCTCACAACTTTAATGCCAGTAGCTCATGCTGAGCTGCAGACCGGGAAGGTCTGCAGTTCGGCAGTTCGAGACCCGAGTGTGCCGCATGACGGCCCCAGCTCCTGCCAACCTAGCAGTTCGAAAGCAAGAAAATGCAAGTAGATAAATAGGTACCACTTTGGTGTGAAGGTATCAGCGTTCTGTGCACCTTGGTGTTTAGTCATGCCGGCCACATGACCTTGGAAATGTCTTCGGAAAGCGCTGGCTCTTCGGCTTTGAAACGGAGAGGAGCACGCCCCCAAGAGTTGGAATCGACTAGCTTTTGAGGCCTTTACCTTTGGCTCACAAAGTAGAATTCTTGCTCACAAGACTCCACAGCTCAGAGGGAGCACTGGTAGGGTCTATGGCGTTATAACCTGCTGAGGTCTCTCCCTTCCCCCAAATCCACCCTCCTCAAACTCCAGCCCCCAAAGTTCCAGGTATTTCCCAACCCGGAGCTGGCAACTCTATAGATAGCTTTAAGTCGGTGAAAAATCTCGCTCTTCCGAACCTGCATAAATAGAATCGGGCTCTTCCTGTAATGAAAATATCCCCTTTGGAGAGTCAGAATCCAGCTCCCCTGACCACTGGGGGGTCTTTGTGTGCTGAATAAATATGAAATTCACTACAGATCGGAGAAAACTGGTTGCCAACAAAAAGACTGCTTGGTCTTTTTATCTGTTTATTTTATTTAGCTTCCAAGGTGGAGAATGGCAAAGGGGAGGGGAATTAAAATACAGCTTTAAAATGCGATGGCCGATCAAACACCTATTAAAATATTCAGTTGCTGAAACCACTGCCCAATAGAATTTAACAAAAATAAGTGCAAAGGAAAGCAATTTAGTTTTGAAACAGGAGAGTTTGGAGAGAGACGACCCCCCCTCCCCTCAAAAATGACAACACAGTTGAATCCAAGTGAGCAAGGACGTTTTGATCTCATTAGCTTAAGTGCCAGGTGAATGGTTGAGAAGAAGGAATTTGACAGTCTAGGTTGCCACTGTGGAAAAGGTGGGGTGTGTGCGGATCAGCGCCTCAATGGAAGGTCTTAATGGGCCAGCGGGTTCTCATGGGACCATACAGTCCTTTAAGTACTTCGGTCCAAACTCCATTAAAGTTTCATATGCGATAGCTAGCCCTTTGAATTGTGCCTGGAAGCAGAAAGAAAGTCAGTGCTGTTATTTGAAGACTGGGAGATGCGTTCCTGGCCCACAGTGTCTGCTGGCTGTCTTGCTGTGGCCGTTTGCACCAATGAAGGTCTCTGCACAGTCTTCAAAGTCAGCCCCAGATGGAGCACATTGCAGTAGTCCAGTCTGGATGTGGTGAACGTGGAGAACTACGGCCAGATCCCACCTGTCTCAGAATGGCTCCAAAACCATGCAAGAGGCCCAAATGTCCATCTTTAGAGAAGAGGCTATTGGATTTATACCCCACCCTTCACTACCTGAAGGAGTCTCAGAGCGGCTTACAGCCCCTTTCCCTTCCCCTCCCCACAACAGACACCCTGTGAGCAGTGTTCCCTCTAAGCTGAGTTAGTGTGAGCTAGCTCACATTTTTTAGCCTCTGGCTCACGCATTTTTGTCTTAGCTCAGGAAGGATGGCTCCAGAGCAAATTAATTTATGCAGTAGCCAAATCGCTCGCTCACAACTTGAATGCCAGTAGCCCACAAAGTAGAATTTTTGCTCACAAGACTCCACCGCTTAGAGGGAGCATTGCCTGTGAGGTAGGCGGGGTTGAGAGAGGTCTCCCGAGAACTGCCCTTGAGAGAACAGCTCTGAAAGAGCTTGTAACTGACCCAAGGTCACACCAGCAGCTGCAAGTGGAGGAGTGGGGAATCAAACCCAGTTCTCCCAGATTAGAATCCGCGCTCCTAACCACTACATCAAACTGGCTCTCTTAAACACAGATCTGACAGTATCTCTAAGATTTGAACCCGTTCCTTCCGGGGGGGAAAGCAGCATGGGTCAGAGTGAGCTGAGGAATCGCGGTCCTGTCCGAAGCGATGTTCAATTTACCAAGTTAATGTGCTGAGCCTCCTGTCTCACCACCATCACCCTTCCAGAGTTCCCCTCCCCCAGCTGTGAAGCTCACTGGGTGACCTTGGATCAGTCACTGTCAGCCTGACCTGCCTACCTCACAGGGTTGTTGTGAGAACGGAGGGGGGAGAGCCAACGGGACAGGAGACCTGCTCAGAGTCAGAGGAGAGACGTGAATTTGAGCCACTGCCGTTGCTTCCGTAGAGGCCACTGAAGGGTTGCTAGGCAGCTGGAGAAGATGCTGGGAGCACAGCAGTCCTTGCTGGGAAACATAAAAATTTAACAGCCCCGTCGAAATGCCTTTGGGGGTTGGTCACCTGCCGCTGGTCCAGCGGGAGGTGTATTTTGGAAAGTAGGTCAGGCTGCTGTCTCCGCTTGTTACTTGGGCGGGAGAATTGGGTTGGAAGGGAGGTCGGTGCCCAGTGCCAGGGAAGGGGCAGGTTGGGGTGTTTAAAAAGCCCAGGAGCAAGCCAACCTGATCCATTCAGACCTGGCCAGCAGGGGCGGCTTTGCCACATGTGCTCACCAGCCTCCAGGTGGGACCTGGAGATCTCCCGGAATTACAACTGAGAGCCAGTTTGGTGTAGTGGTTCGGAACATGGACTCTCATCTGGGAGAACCGGGTTTGATTCCCCACTCTCCGCATGCAGCTGCTGGTGTGACCGTGGGTCAGTCACCAGTTCTCTCAGAGCTGTTCTCTCAAGGGCAGTCCTCGAAAGAGCTCTCTCAGCCCCTCCTACCTCCCAGGGTGTCTGTTGTGGGGAGGGGAAGGGAAAGGAGATTGTAAGCCGCTCTGAGACTCCTTTGGGTAGTGAAGGGCAGGGTATAAATCCAATCTCTTCTTCTTCCAGACTACAGAGATCAGTTCCACTGGAGAAAACAGCTGTTTTGGAGGGCGGGCTCTGTGGCATTGCACCCCTCTGAAGTCGTTCCCCTTCCCAACGCTTCCCAGGCTCCACCCCCAAATTCTCCAGGAATTTCCCAAACCAAAGTTGACAACCTTATTAAATGCCACCCAGGGGCAAAGTCTGAGCCAAGCAGCTCCCTGTGGGGCTACCAACCCTGCTGGGGCTCAGCTCGGATTGTGTCTCGTCCTGTGGCAGTGAGTTCCACAAGTGAATCGTGCAAAGGAGTACTTCCTTCCGTCTGTTCTGAATCGACTGCCCACCAGCCTCAATGGGTGCCCCCCCCCCCGGTTTCTTGAAAGAGAAACTTTTCCTCCATGTTCCATTTCCTCCACACTGCGCAAAATTTGGTCGAGCTCTATCGTGCCCCCTCGCCCACACTGCCTTGTCCTAAAGTGGAAAACACCAGGCTCTTTCGTTTTCCTCGCAGACGTGGTGCTCCAGCCCTGTGATCAGGGGCCCTACGGTTTCTTCCTCGCGGCTGGCAGTAGTCTCAGCAGGAGGGAATCCTTGCCTGACCTGCAGAACCCTTGCTTCCAGCCAAAGAGTACCAGCAGCTGCTCACGTACTCAGGCTTGTGATGTAGCCCTGAAAAGGAACCGTTCGGAGACAGACCCCCCCCTGGTCCCATCGACATTTCCAGCGGAGGATCTGTTCCGACTTCTGAACAAACGTCTGATTGAAAATTAATTTTAACTGACTTTTTAAAAAGAAATTATATTAATAATGGAATATAGTAGCCCGATAGTGTCGAATCGACTTAATCACAGACAGAGAGTGCTCTCCTTTTAGAAGACTACTTCTCCGAAAGAACTAAAGGCTGATTTGCAGGCTCACAATTAATTAATTAATTGAAACAAAAAAAAACCTGGGACTGTGCCACATGCAGCATTTAAGACCAATTGACTGATCTCGTGAAAATTACGTGCAGGGAAGGCTGAACAGCGGAGTAGAAAGGGGGGAGAAATCACATTTCGACGTTGCTTCTGTTTTAAAGATTTTTGTACCTTACTCGCAACCGTCAGGTTACCAGAAAGCCAAACACCTGATACAAAAGGTATTAATTTACTTCCTTTATGCCCCACCTTTCTCAGCAGTGAACACCCGAAGAGGCTCACATCATTCTCCTCGCCTCTGCTTTATCCTCACAACTACCCTGTGAGGTAGGCCAGGGCTGTGAGTGGGAGACTGACCCGAGGCCACCCAGCAAGCTTCCGTTGGCAGAGTGGGGATTCAACCCAGGGTCTCCCAAATCCTTGGTCAACACACTATTCGCTACGCCACGCTGGCTTAAGGGTGCTGGAGTCCGTAGCAATTGGATCTCCGATATCTTAGGAAAGACACTACAGTCAGTGTTCCCTCTAAGCTGAGTTAGTGTGAGCTGGCTCACAGTTCTTTAGCCTCTGGCTCACACATTTTTGTCTTCGCTCAGAAAGGAGGGCTCCAGAGCCAACGAATTTATGCAGCAGCCAAAAGGCTTGCTCACAAGTTTAATGCCAGTAGCTCGCAATGTAGAATTTTTGCTCCCAAGACTCCACAGCTTAGAGGGAGCCTTGCTCACAGTGATCCTTTGTGGGATGCAGGTCGTGCACCCAGGAAGATTTCTAGCACCAGGGAGGGAAGAGGTGAAGATGGGGGGGGGGGAGAGACTGCAGGCTGTGCCACATAACTGCTTGCATGTAAAAAGCTAGCACATCAGGGGGAAGAAGAAGAAGGGAAGGGATTGGATCTATACCCCACCCTTTGCTACCCAAAGGAGTCTCAGAGCGGCTCCTTTCCCTTCCCCTCCCCACAACAGACACCCTGTAAGCAACGCCTCCTCTAAGCTGTGGAGTCTTGTGAGCAAAAAGTCTGCTTTGTGAGCTACCGGCATTCAAGTGGTGAGCGAGCGATTTGGCGACTGCATAAATTAATTTGCTCTGGGGCCCTCCTTCCAGGGCTAAGACAAAAATGTGTGAGCCGGAGGCTAAAAAACTGTGAGCTAGCTCACACTGACTCAGCTTAGAGGGACCACTGCCTGTGAGGTAGGTGGGGCTGAGAGACCTCTCTCGAGAACTGCCCTTGAGAGAACAGCTCTAAAGAACATATGACTGACCCAAGGTCACACTAGCAGCTGCATGTGGAGGAGTGGGGAATTTAGGAAGAGGTCTTCCCTAGCCTGGTCTCCAACACCCTAGTTTTCCGGCTGCATGGAGTCCTCCTTTCCCACGTGCGCGCGGGACGGATCGCGAGCTCTCCAAGTCTGCGTGCCCCCACTTTCTCCGTCCATTGGTGCCGCGTTTCAGTCTCGCTCCCTACTTTCCCTCTTGATGACAGGAGGATCACGGCGGGGAGGCGGAAGACGCCGACGACCTGGAGGCGGTCCGAGAAGCCAGAGGCCGAGCGGAAGGAGGCGGCAAAAAAGACGACTACTATTGAGGGTTCTTGCAGCTTGGGGGAGACCTGAGAACTTGGAAGGAGGACCCGGCCTGGCGGCTGCGGCAGCAAAACTGGGCTCATCGCTTGAGCCGCAAGCCCTGAAAGGCGGCACTTCTAGAGACGATCACACTGACAATGCAAACGCAGACGTCTCTGCGTGCCCGGAGAGCGAGTCCAGGTTGGCACAGGAGGCAGCTCTCGGAAAGACTCCCTTCCCCCGTCTCTCTCCCTTTCCGTGGTTTCTTGAGGAAGGGGGCTCGGGGGAAAAAATCAAGATCCCTCTTTGGGTGATTGCTCCCTTCCCTGGTTCAAGAATTATTTTTTAAGATTTGGGACGCGGGGAGGAGCCGACTCTGCGCGACTCCATTACCCTCGGCCTGCTTGCACCGGCCCTTTTCCCGTCGTCCCGGACTCACTCCGCCGCTCTTTAATGCAAGGTCTGGCCATCTTTGTATGAATATATAAAACAAATCCTTTTGGTACCGAGGCCTTGCTACGTTGCCGTCCGTTTTATTATGAGCAGGGGGGGCGAGGGAAAGGTTCCCAGGACGGTTGCCGGCCTCCAGGTGGGGTTTGGAAATCTCCTGGGATCAGGGCTATTTTTGGGCAGGAACGCACAGGAACGGAGTTCCGGCTGGCTCCCACGTTGGCCACGCCCAGCAGGAACTCATTAGCATAA